CTACTCGTGTGGGTGCAATCTCAATATCAACAATTATTAGTTCACCCTTAGACTTCGCTTTCTTAGCCCATAAACTTTTCACAACAATCAGTTCATTACAAAGTTCGTCCAGGGTATTTCCCGTTTCAGGGTGTTCTGGGCGACGGGTCGAAGAAGAGCCATCCTCTGCCATGCGATTTGGGGGGTTGAAAGGGGTTATAGGCGCCTTACCTTCAACTGAACCCTCCAAAATCGGTAGGAGCAGGCGCTACTCCTACTGGTTGTTGCCTTTTGGGTTACGAATCAGGGGGCACCATGCCATGATGTGCCCTGCAGTGCCGCACTTGAGGCACTGCCGATTGTTCATTGTGTCACTCCTCTCGTGACATACCCATCTTTTCCCAGGGCCTCCGGACCACAATGCTGGGGTGCTCTGGAAAGGAGCATGGCCTCTTCTTCTTAAAGTTTCCACTTCCGTTGGTGCCACCCTTTCTGGCCACCATGGCAGTGACGTCACCCTTTCCCGACTCACTGCCACCACTTGTTCCACCCTCTGCCTCGCCGAGGGGCCATTTCTCCATGGTGTCGTCATCAAAGACGACGAGGGTGTGGTCTTGTCGCTTCTGCCGCCACTGGACACGCTTACCGTTCCCATACCCACCAGACGGACCACTTCGTACAACGGACGCATAGGTGCCCTTCACCTGTGCGGCCATCTGCTCCCTTTGGAATGCGAGGTCGCAGAACTGACACTAATTATACTTACCGGATTTGCTTTTCGCCATGAGCTGTCCGTGTATGGGCTCGGGCAAAGCACGCTAGTAGATGTACAAAACCTGGTTGTCCTGTAGGTTTAGTCTAGGTACCTGCAACAAACAATCAACCTCACGTGACAAAACGTCAAAAGTGGTCCAACGCTTATGGCTAATGGCAGAGAGTTCGCCAAAGGCCTTGTCGACCGTTGTTTTGTTAAGGAACCTGTCCTTGATCTTCAAGAGGAATTCCCTGAGAGTCGTCGTTTTTGCCCACTCACCTATGTCTTCAAAACCAGCAGGTTAGCCTAGGACAATACCCACTCCTTGGCAACCTCACCCAGACATGAGGTTGAGAATGGCTTGACTTGGCCTTGGTCTGCTCCTGACCGTTACCAGTCGCCCGCGGCGTGTCTGCTGCATGATTTTTGGTTGCCCGGTACCTTCTGGACCTTTCCTGGGGTGCTGCTGCGAAATTGGACTTCGGGACTGGACTTTCCTTGTTGGGTGCCGGTTGGACTTTTAACGGCCCATGACGATTCAGTTTCGGCCTGACTTAAGACGTACCAGGCTACCATGCTTCAAACTCTATCGACCCTCTGGATGGGACCTGGACCACTTGAGACCAGTCCAATCTTGGACAGGGACAATTTGGGACGTTGGGACCGGGACTTGAGTGTTTGCAGCCTGAAAATTCTGAAATTATTTCAGGGAGGAGCGGGGGCGGGATGACGAGCGGGAGGAGGGGAAGGAGGAGGACGGATAGGATGACTAACAGGAAGACAAAAGAAAATATGGCCACATTGGAGGGGAAGGAGGAGGACGGGAAGGAGAATGAACAGCTGTGTATCTCCCGATGGTCCAGCGCAAGATTCATTCCATTTTGCATGGAAGGAGAGAGCAGGGGGAGGAGGGAAGGGATGATGAGTGGGAGGAGGGGAAGGAGAAGGATGGGGAGGATGACGAACAGCAGCACTGCACGCAGGAAAGACCCAAAAAAATGGCCGTGCATCTCCCCATGTTCTAGCGGAATATTCGTTCTATTGTTGCAGGGGAGGAGGAGCGGTGGACCCTTTTCCCTGTTCGGCCCGGGGCGGCTGTGTGGAGCGCTGTTTCTGTTGGGGGTGTCCTCTTTTTTCTTGTGCTTTCTTGTTTTGTGGCAGTGTTATCTTTGCATGTTCTGGCGGAAGACTCTCTCTTTTTTTTCTTTTTTTTTTTTCTTTTTCTTTTTTTTAATAAAATAGGGCCTTATGGTCCTAGCTCCATCTATTCTGGGGAGCGTCAGTCCGGTTCCTATTCCACTGGCAAGTCAAAACATACATTACATTAGGGAAAACACACGCTTCCTTCCGTCTGGCCGAAGGACCCCTGAGCAGCATTGATTGCTCCACCTTGGCGGAGGATTGACTGTCAGCTTGCCGTGCAACACTCGACCTCTCAGACCTGGAACCCAGATCTGTCAAATAGTTCTATTTTTCTAGGAGGAGGTTGCCCCTTATCAGGCTAACTTGTGACTGTCCATTTAGCGATCCTGCTCCTGAGTCACCGCCCTCCCCTTTTTATCTGCCCTCCCTTTTTCATCATGTCGTTGACCCGCTAAGTCCTAAACCATAAACCCTCGTTCGCCAACCATTGATAGTATACTTTCGGTTCTTCGGTCATTTGCTCGTTCTCCTTGAGTGATCTGTAGTGTTTTCTTTTCAATGAAGTCTTGGGTCTCCACTGCTCGCCTCTGAAGGGCCCCATCTATGCAACAGATGTTGGTCTCCCTCGGAGGAATCCTTTCTTTCGGTGTACCTTTGGGTCTTGTCCTTTATTCTGTCCTGTCCTGTCATAAGTCTCTTCCATGGTTTGCTCCGGATATCCTTTGCCCCTCCACCGTTCTCTATTGTTGGTGGTCCCTCCCTGCATTGGAATTGTGCCAGTCCTTCCACCGGATGTGATCTTCCCGCAGGTCTGCTATTTTGCTATTTACCAACCAAATTCTGCAGAAATTCCGTCTCGCCTTCATTCGTTGATCCTCATCCTCCGTCCATGATTGTTTAATCTTCCGCCGTTTGCACAGGATCTGAGCTTGTATCATTGTCTTCGTCTCGGCCCAGACCTTCTCACGTGGGTTAGACAATCCTTCGATCGTTCTGTTGCATCTCTCCTTCCATATAACCCACAGTGTCACTTTCCTTATGATCTCGAACCAGATCCTTTCTGCCTTTTGCGACCATTCGGGGATGTAAGTCAGCAAGAGAAGTTGGATGGGTTGCTGGGGAAAGGGGTCGGGAAAACGGAATCCCAAAGTGTCGAGGCTCTTGCCCAGTAGTCCGTCACCTCTCTACAGAGTATTAAGCAGTGTACTATGTCTTCTACCGCCCCTTCTGTGCAGACTGTGCACAAGTCCGAGCTGTTAGGGTCTGAGCCTTTCCGTCTGATATGCAGCCACTGATTCACCGGTAGTGCAGCATATGTGATTAGCCATTGTAAGCTTCTGATTTTAATCGGCCTAATAGACTTGAACTTCTTCCACAGGATCTGGGTTAATTTGTCTGCCTCCTGTCCCAACAAGTTTTGCCATCTTTTCTTGATGATAGGGTCTGGATCTTTAGTTTTGAGCAGCAGCCTGTACCCCAGTTTAACTGTGTATTCATGAATTGGGACTTTGGATTTGATGTTCTTGGTCTTATCTGGCGTCCACATCCATTCGGCCGGGTCAAATTCTAGGTTATGGATCGCCGTGTCAGGTCTGAAGAGCGGAAGACTCTTTCTCATTTTGCACATTTGGCAAGTTTTTTTTTTGGGGGGGGGAGTGCTGGGGGCCTGTGTGACAGTGGGAGTGTGCCTGTTAGTAGCCTCCAATCCACAAAGTGCGGTCCGCCCTGCATGCTGCCGCCCGAATAGAAGTACACAGCAGGACATGCAGGAGGAGGACACAGCAGAGAAGGGGGAGATGGCCGAAGATGAGGCCGATGCAGGAGTGGGACAGAGAGGTGATGGCAAGGACCCACGGGGAATAGGAGGAGCAGGTCTCTGCTGTGCGCGAAGCTGCTATGGGAAGCACCTTGTTATGACTCTACAAGATTGATGCTGTCTGTCATTAATATGATAAGCAGGAAACCTATAAGAATTATTGCACTCCAACCAGAACTGGTCCGCTGCAATGAACCCAATGTCGTTGAGAAGCCAATCAGCAATGTCATCCACATCTGAACCCAGCGCTCAATAGGAAGTCTCCAAAGGTGATTGAAAGTCCATTTCTCGATTGGATGCTCATTTCAGCAGGAGTGAACCATCATGGAAGAACACTGAAGAAGAGATAGAGGAGGGAATAGACAGAGAGAAGGAGAGGCGAATTACATGAACTCTTCAGTCCCACTTCCGCCTTGGGCTTCTCCCCTATCGGTGCCTCAGCAGTGCATGCTCTCCTCTGATGGCAACTAACATTGTCATTGTGCAGATCTCAGCAGAGCGCCCATCTCCTTTCACATCTCACAGTGAGCTATGGAGGATGGGGCTGTCCTTCCTCACCTTCGTGGAGACTAGCAGCAGATCAATCGCGTCGGCGCCAGGTAAGTCCAGATAACCTTCCCCTCAAACCTCTCATCAGTCTCACAGTCCTGATCCTCCTCTTCCTTGCCCAACCTCATCACCTCTACATATATGGCTGTGTCGTCTGTGGCCACTCAGCATGTCCTCCTGCTAGGCTGGCGCCCTCCAGCAGCATCTGGCGCCAGCGCCTCACCGCCAGCAGTCTTGTGTGTATCTCTTCGCCACGAGCCAGCGCAAAGCAGAATGGGCCTCCCCTCGGCCAGGTATTCATCTTACAGCGTTGACTGGCATTGACCAGTTTCCTCCTGGACCGTGTCGACGGCCGAGATTTTCCTGAAGTCCCGGATGTGTTGTGTCCCTGATGGAACTGGAATCTTCTGGAAACCTGCAGACAACCTTTGATGTGCATCTGATCTACGGCCGTGGTTGACTACTGGGAGACTTTGGGCCTGCATTTCCCGTCCAGGGTCTGAGTCTTGATTTTCCAAGAGTCAACTGTACAGTGTGGGGGTACTGGACGCAGCTTTTGACTCAGGGCCGAGTACCCCTGAACCATACGGACTCTCTCAGACCTGTAGGGGCCCTCTTTCTGGCCTCTGACTATAAGTTATGACCCTGCCCTTGACTCGTGCCGGTTTTGAACTGAGTTTATTCCACCACTTCTCTCCCTGACTGATGATTTTGGCAATGGTCCTGCTTCGTCTGGCGATTATGGCAATGGCTGTACAGGTGGGATATGACTGGAGTAAAGGGGCTGAGAACCATAATCCTACGATGTCAAAGAACTACATTTTCCTGCATGCAACACAGGTAAGCTGCCACGGATGCCAATTGCTTTAAGGAAGGACCTGGCTGACTATTCTGGGAACTCCCACTCTCCACTGGCAGTTGGATTGTGTTGAGGGCTTGTATAATATCGTTGCACGATCGAATGCCAGTGGCCACTCTTTGCAAAGGCCTTTGTGGGATAGTTAATCATTTCATGGATTTCTTCAATTGTTCAGTCCTAGCAAAGTGCTTTGATGGAATAGTAGACCATCTCAGCTTATCACTGCTGTTCTTTTTCATTCTTCTGCTGTCTGCTCTGTCTGCTCTGTGTGTGTGTGTGTGTGTGTGTGTGTGTGTGTGTGTGTGTGTGTGTGTGTGTGTTGCAAAAATATATCCCACGATGTACTTGCCATGCACCCCACCACCACAGCGGTACGCCAGGCCCTCGTCATGTCCAAACTAACGCTCCCTGGATATGATGCTACCTTACATATCCGTGGATTACCATGACCGGCTTTCTAGAGTCCCACATTTGATGGAGGGCATGGGGGAGGCGGGAGGGAAGATCAGACGTAAACAGACCAACCAGGCAAACCAAAAGAAACCGGTCCCAAAAAGGTGCCAGAACAAAGAGGAAAACAATAGGCCGGAGGGCACGGGGGAGGCGGGAGGGCGGACAACATGCAAGGTATTGTAAGCAGACCAAGCAGGCAAACCCAAAAAAAAAAGAGTCCCAAAAAAATTGAAAGACCGAAAAAAAAAGCTGATGGTGGTAGATAGTTTCGTCGGAATCGCAACGACTCGTCGGGAGGCTGAAACCTCGACAATCTGTGGAAAGGCCATATTGATGGTTTGGGTCATGAACCCTTTGTCCCATATTGAAGGCAGACTGTCCCCAAGCAGGACATAGCTGCGGGCAGCAACTCAGCGAAGCACCAGGCAACGCTGCCAGAGCAACACAACTGCTTATCGCCAAAGATGACTGCAACGAACGACAGGGCAAGCGGACGAGCAGCTCGGCAACCATGCAGTGAAGCGCAAAGCAACACCAAAGCAACACCAAGAAGGCAACCAAACTACAAGGCACGCAAGCAAAGGACACAGGAAGGCCGGCAGGCAAGTGGACGAGCAGCTTGGCAACCGTGCAGTGAAGGGCAAGGCAACACCAACAAGGCAACCAAACCACAAGGCACTCAAGCGAAAGACAGAGAAGGCATAGGGGTGCAGGAGCATACACGAGGTTGGGTTAGACAACGCAAGCATCAGGGCAGCATGATGAGACCATTTGGAGAACTCTTCCTAGGGTTTTTGTTGTCATTGGTAGATCTTTGTACCGGCAGGGTCACATTTTGCTGATTCACATTTGTCCTGCTTCTCTAGTCGGCAAGAGAAACACGGAGGCAATAGATAAGTAGGCAGTGCACACTGACACAATTGGCCAAGCGTAGCCAAAGGGTTCCTGGCGTTAACGCCTGTGTTGTTGTCTGCTAGAATGAGCTGTAGGCAGGTGGTAGCCAAAGGGTAGCTTCACAAGGATATAGACAAACGTGTGAAGTAAGTGGATCAGCCTGGCGTCCACTACCCACTACTCGTCAGATCCCATTGGAGATTATCCGACCTTATCAGGAATGAAAAAGGCGTCCCTTTCCAAGAAAAGCAAGTAGAGTTAGTGAGCCGTGTAATGGGCAACTATTTCGCACGGCTCGGAGGGCACTTCAGTAAGTCTGTGCAAATCAGATTGAAGTTTTGACAGGACAGCTTATGGTGGGCTGATGGTTTGTTTCCTGCCTGGTGGTTGGATGATGGTACATACCTACAACTAACCCCAGGACCAGATATCATTTCCTGTCCATACAGTAAGAGAGGAGCTAGGCCCCCCGCCCCCTTCGTTTACCCCCTTTTTTTCCATGGCACAGGATGGTGGGGAGGCATGTGATTGTTTTGGCGGTTGAACGGTACAGAGGTCATTTCCTGTCCATAGCTAGAAAACAAAACAGCAAGGCAACAGGGCAGCTGGGCAACCAGGCAGCGAGGCAGGAAGGCAGCGAGGCACAGTGAGTGGCAAAGCAGATCGGCAGACAGGCAGTGAAGCGAGACACAGGGCAAGCAAGACGGCAGCAAGGCAATGGGGCAACACCGACAAGGCAACAAGACAAGGCAGTCGGATGGGCAGCCAGGCATCAAGGAAGCACTGTCAAGGCTGTCCGCTCATGTAGTAACGGCCGAAGTAGATCATCACCTACTCGTACCACAAGTAGAACTCTATGGACTGCAGATTCACACAGTGACAGGAGCCAGTGAGTCACTGTGATTAATGTCTGTCATCGCGAAGGGAACATATACACAGGTCCCCCGGACTCAGTAGCCCCCTTAATTGGCTCATCGTAGAGGTGCTTACTTGGACAGAGGAGGAGCACTGGAAAAACGGGAGAACACACCAAGTGGACAAGGAGAAAGGAAGAAAAGAAAAGAAAAAGCTAAGCCTAAATGTGTGTGTGTGCGTGTGTGTGTGTGTGTGTGTGTGTGTGTGTGTGTGTGTGTGTGTGTGAGAGAGAGAGAGAGAGAGAGAGAGAGAGAGAGAGAGA